TTGTGTTTGTCTCTTACATCTTTGAAACACTTCTGCTCCCCCCTCTCGACTTTTTTCAATTTGATGTTCCTTCCCATCTGTGAAGCCTGAAGTCAACTAAAGGGCTAATGATAAATATCATAAAGCCTGCCATTTGTTATAAATAAATGATTTCAAATGCATCCCTTTTACATGCATATTAATATATATATATATTCGTGAATAATTCTCGAATTGTTTGTATCGTATATTATATATTATAATAATGTAATTATAACATTGAATTTTCAATAATTCGGGTTTCTTATATTCCACCGATATGATTCTCTTTCATATTAATACTCCAAGTTTGAACGTGTTATTTTTAAATGACTTGAATATGAAATTTCTATCACAAAATTGCGTTTGACTATATACGATTTAATCTATCACATATCCGATATGAACTATAATTCTTTTAAATTTTTACGATCCATACCACAGAACAAGAGAGAAAATAAATTGATAATCGTAATGTTAGACAAGGAACGGTTTGAGATGGCGGGGTTTCCCTTGGCGTGATATGTAGATCAGCAGAAAGTTAGTTGATAATGTTGAACTGAAAATAAACAGATCGGGTCAAACGAGAACAAACGTTAGTACCTACAGACTCAGTGGCATCGAGTTTTCTGCGCTGATCGAGTGAAACGTCCAGTATCAGATAGCGAACCGCATCAAAATGTCGAGCCGACTTTTTGTTATAAAATATTTAAGAAACATTGAAGATTATGAAACAAATTTAAAACAGACCTAAAACACGAGAAGTGCACTTTTCCTCACTTTTAGCCAGTTTGCACTTGCAACTGATTCAAATACCAGGGAAACCTAAGTGTCAGTTTCGACTAGAAGAATTCATCACAGCAGTCACCCAATAGCACACTTTAGAAAAGATGAGAAAGACAACTTCATATCATAACCATAATTTGCAATAAATTTCAGATACTAGTAGAATTCTATTTTCTGTGATAGGCTTCAACCGCAACAAGACCACATGCAACCCATTGAGTCAGAAGCATGTACAGTCACAATAGCTTTTTATTTAAGATGACAAAATAGGGAAAGCATTGCACAGTGAGAGCGTTAAAATTAGCTGGAAAGACAAAAGTGATGGCTACCTAATGAGGCTGTCCCGATTCAATGTCCTTTTCAACCTGTTTTGCAGTTGTGGGGTGCATATAAGGTCTATGCGCCTTAAAGTTGTTTATTGCCTGCGCCCTAATGCCTGGCCATGCCACGAGGCCTCTGTATAGCGGTCGCGTATAATCCAATCGTCCCTGACTATTGAGAAATTCCAATGCGCTATCCAAACCGGGAAGATATTGAGAATAAATTACAATCAACGACCATCTAGAAAATATGAAACCAATGCATTAGTTGTTCCTCAGATAAGGTGAAATAAAGTGATCTTCACTAACCTGAAGCGAATCTCGGCATTGTGCATATTTGACATCGACAATAAGGTCTTGAGAACATTGAGATTATCATGTGGAAGAGGAACACATTTGAGCAAACGTTGCCATAGCAACTGCTGTTGAAGGGGAATCATTGATTCATACTGTGACCTAACGTAAACAGCGGATTCATTATCATCGACCAAGGAAGTCCCTAATATCTTTTCTATTACTTGATCCACAACGTTGGATAGAACACGATTTGTTCTGAAGGAAAAGGGAGAAAATTAGGCACAGATTTAAGTAGCCTTAAAGAGGATTTCTCAAGCAGGTACTTACGGAGGTACCCAGGGAATGGGACCGGCGGAAAATAGCCACGCATCCCAATCAATCTCATCCAACAACTGTTTACCTAAATTTTGAGCCAAAAACTGTTTCCATTCCTCCGTAGTGATGGATTTCTCGCGGTAATGGTCAATGTATGACCTTAACCACTTTAGAATGGCCTCTAGGAAAAGTAAAGGAGAAGAGCGTTTGGAATAGGAACCGATCACAGAGACTCCAAGATTCAAACTAGAGAGACCTACCTTTACCGTATTTGCACTCCAGATAATAGAGGAAAAGCGAACCCTTCTGATAAGGAACTGTTGAGAAAGAGTCATCTGTATGAACTCCTTTCAAACAGGGTATTAACTTAGTTAACGGATGACTATGATTGAATTCCTTTTCCAACTTAATAAGGAGAGAGATTTCAATTTACTACCAATAAGGCAAATTAATTTTAAGTAATTAGGGGAAAGGGAGACTTACACAAGCTTGAAGGACGTCGTAGCCGAGTTCAATAAAGAGTTCTCGATAGTCAGTTCCATAGAGCTCCTCAAGAATGAGACCCTCCAAGTAGACAGTGTGACCTTCGTTGAGCCAGAAGTGTTCCCAAGTTGCGTTGGTTACCAAATTGCCTATCCATGAGTGAGCAATTTGATGTGCGATAACTGAAGTTAGCGATCCATCTCCTGCCTGCGTGCATAGAATGAGAGACCAGAGGCAAATTAGACTGATGTGAACAACCTTCTATCTCAGCAAATACACTCAAATTTCTGCATTATCCCCTAGAAACTTTATCTCTGCAAAAGCAATAAATTGACAAAAAAATCGAGGTATAAAACCACACCTACATGTTGATAGGTAGAGGTTGAAACAGATAAAAGCAAAGTGGTTGCAGGAGATGATTAGACCCTAAAGTTACTAAGTAGTATTGATCTGAAAGCTTTCAACATGGAAGAGCTAAGGACCGATTGGAAACCGTTTAACCAGAAGTCCGAGGCGAAGGAATGTGTCCATTTGAATCCAATAAGACCGTTTATATGATTGTCGGATTAAAGAAAGGACATATGTGGATCGACATTTAGATCGATTACAAGGCACAAGTAAGCTAAGAAAAGCAAGCCCTCATTAATTCTACAATTCGCCACGACAATGATGATAATAATTTCAGATACTATGGGAGACCATTTCATGAATAATTAATGAAATATAAGTTGTTAGGATGACGAAGCAAATCAACACAAACTAGTAAATATGAAAAAAAATGCTTCCTGTTGCCCTCATTTAATGCCTTCATTTTTTGCAATTACTCTCGTCACCTTTATCTTATCACTTTTGCACCTAATTACAAGAAGTTCATCGAATTTATTTCGTAAAAAATATGGCCTTAAAAAGTGTCAAATCGAGGGTCTCTTGGCAAAAAAAAGACGACTACTATATCTAAGGCACACACACACACCCACGAAGGGTATTTTAACGAAGCAAAGAAAAAAGTCACCGAAACTAAACACACAGTACGAGAGAGAGAGAGAGATGGCAGTAATCGCATCAAAATAAAAAAAATATTTTAAGCAAACATTGAGAATTTATACTGCAATTCATGCCAATTTCGTGTCGGATTTAATTGGCAAGTAAGAATGCCATTCATCACTCACCTTGAGGCAAGAATTAGAACCCCCCCCCCCCACCGATTGTGGGCGGGCAATAATATTACATGAGCCAAGCCTTAAAATATTAATTATTTAAAGTACTGTGTTGTTTACTGTCATTTTGCTTATCTACTTAATTTGTTTTCGATACTATTAAACACTGCGTTCAGTCTGACCATATTACCCATTCTCTAAGTGGTTAAAGAGTTTACTTGTAAGTACGATGAAAAAAATTGTAGCTTCAAACATTCTAGATTCGGCTGATAATTACCGAAAATAAGAGATATACTATACATATATATATATATATATATATATAGTATATTAAAGTGTCGGGTGCCATGGATGGTAAACTAGGGGAAAGACGTAATATAACGAATAATCGATCAGTATCAATTTTCCATTAAAAAAATTCTTTATGATTTATTTATTACCTATTTGAAAGGCAAGTATCATGGAATTGCAGCCTTTAGGAGAGACCTTACAACATGACCTGTGGAAGGATTTTAATGTTTCAAGGATGGAATAAATTCAGTTCCAGTAATTCATCAGGTAACCACATTGTCGATTTCCGCAGTTATTAAATAAAAAGAGGAGACGGAGTTAATAGGAAAAGTTTTAGCTGCTTAGAGGACTAGAGTTCTTAAGACGTTCACGAGAACAGACGCATAAATCGATGGAACAAAAATTACGAATAGAAAAGGTCACATGGAAGAGGGCATCAGTCGACTGAGGGAGAGAGAGAGCGTGACCAGTGAAAGGAAGGCCGATTTGTAAGCATTGACCTCCTCACACTCTCCGAAATCCCCTTTTGAGAATTTAATTGCATTTAGAAACGCAATAGGCCCAAGAAAAAGGGCCAATGAAAGCCAACTCACAAGAAGAGTAGGGTTGACGAATGTCAACTGTGGGTTCTCCATACCACCGTAGGGGAAACTGGGAGGAAGAACGAGAATATCATAGCAACCCCAAGAGTAGGGACCACATATCTTTACCGCAGCATCTAGCATTCGATCAACCACCGCGAATTCTCGTGTAGTTCTAGGTAACACACTCGGCTCTGCATATACCCGTGATTTCTGCCCAATCGGTCTGAAAAAGCAATTAGACAAAGAAATGAAAATAGCACGTATATCCTTATTCAGCAATATGATTGAGTTCAAAAACCCAATAAACCTTGTCAACTGATTGAGCTGATCAGTTGCAAACAGTATAACTGATCAAGAGGAAAGGCTATATATAAGCCCCATTAGGAGATCTGATATTATTTCCCCTGGATTAAATATCTTAAGGCACTTGCTTCAAGTGACTTAGCAGGTATAATTAAACAACACGATTGAAGTTATATTGAAGAAGTGATAATTGAACTTTAGCTTGCATTAACTAGACGCTCAAAAACACTTAACTGAGCCTCCAGATACAGTTTTGTAGGAACATACCGAAAAGTAGTTGTAGAATATGCAAGTAAATGAAGTAGAATACAACCAATAAACAGGTGCGCTAATGATAGGAGATAGAAACAAAGACACGAATGGAGATGAGAAATTGGCAAAAAATTGATCCTCGAAAATTGGGTCATCTTTGAAGTTCACACCCGGAAATGAAGTTTCGTCACTGACATTTTACTGACTAAAAGGGCAGGCTACTTAAGCAGTCCTGTTTTATTTCCCATACTATCTGGACAGATCGCCGTTACATAGGAAAGCTAATGTGCATTAATGACAATTTCCCACAGAGATTTGGTAGCCAGCCTAGTGAGGAGGCACAAATACGCTAAAGTAACATTACCACTATGGATGGAAATAGAAGTCTCTTTAACTGCGGATAATTTTCCCCCCAACAATGACCTACACACACAGCTGTTTGAGAGTCAAATTTAATAAATTTATAAAGTTGATTCAAATATGATAGTATCTCGTCGGATTCCAGTAGGAAGGTAAAATAGTTTATATATACATACATACATATATATATATATATATATATATATATATAAAACTACAGGTACAAGGGAGGCGATAGTTTATCCAGTTAGTCAGAAATATGGAAATGAAAATATCGCATATTCCCAGACACTAGAACAGTATTTCCAAAAAAACAAATAGGCAAGTATGGGAGGAAACCTGTAAAGTATTCAATAGTTCCATTAATTGATGAAAGTAATTAAGAAACGACTTGGTAGTGATTCCTATTCGTTCAATAAACACTGATTCACTTACTGTAACAGATGCTAATTACAATGTGTGATACAGTGAGGGTGTGTGTGTGTGTGTGTGTGCGTGAGAGAGAGTGAGAGAGAGAGCGGATTACAAATTTGCATAAATTGCGGTTGCTTAATTTAATCTGCGCAGTCCAGAAAAACCAGCCCCACAAAGTGATAAAAAGATCGAAAAGAGCGCCAGCTGCAAAACTCCGCTTAAACTAACAGCATGCAGCTCGGTAATAATAAAAAGGAGATTGGAATGGCGTCACCACCCAATCTTTTAAGTTCGGTCATTTCAGGTGTGCGCGCTTCCTTCTATTATCGAATAAATTTGAGCTGGTTTGTGGAGTTAGGAAAACATACACGCATTTAAACATTCGCTAATGAGAACTAAATCCAACGCTATCTATTGCAATGAGAGATGTGCTGAAGTCTTGGTTTCACGACTATAGTTTACAAAAACCACTTAATCATGCTTTCTTTCAATGAATCTTAAATTTTAATCCACGCATCTCATGGCCAACTCGGATACTACGGCGACAGGACTCACCAATGAGCGAAAGACTAAATGCTATTGAGTGGAGCTTCTCGAACACAATAACAGAAAGTGAATAAACAAGAGAATAAGGCTGAATTTCATCTATCCAGTAACACAAATTAACAATTCGAAATAAAAGTTAACAAAAATATGTGCAAGAAACCTGACTCAATTACAAAAAAAAGTTATTAGACAAAAGGTTATAACGCACCGGTGGGACAACGGTCACGTACACAATGACAGTGCGATGACAACTAACTGACGAATCACCCAGGTTAATAGCGACTAACTGTGCAATACTATATCAGGGGAAAAATCCTGAAAAGAGGGACAATACTCTTGTTTCCGGCAAGGGGTGCGGGAGTGGAGGTCTAACGAGGAGTGGAATCGGATAAGCACCTCATAATGAGTCGAGTCAACAGTCTTGCGAAGGCAATTCAATCTTTTGGCGTTAGATTTTTACGATGCTGTCCCCATATGGCTGTGCCAAGGCATGAGGCTCTCTTACTAGTATATTGGTAAATAACCAGATAGTGGAGCGTTAATTTTTATGAAATACTGCATAAAAACTAGAACATTAAAAGTTTAGAACTCAGTAGCAAAACAAAATTGCCATCATAGAAGTACACCCACAGTAGACATCAGCACAAACGATTTTTGCCATCATTATGCCAGTAGCGATAAATTTATATTAGGGTCAAACAGGAGTTGAGAATAGAGTCAGGTCATTAGAAAAGTCTTAGCTCACTTGAAGAATAGAATTATTAAGCCATCCTTATCTTCGAATTTAAAGAATTTACCCCTATGTTCCTGAGAGAAAGGCTATTTCCAAGATGTTCACGTATTAAAAATTATTTCAAATCGAGTGGTAGACCACGTTACTTCGATCCATTAGTCCATTTGTACACTCAAAATAAACAAGGCGAGCAAAAATTGGAGTTCCTCTGGTGAGAAATTTGTATTCCGTCATATCTTTCTCTCTCCCTCTGCGTTAACCAATTTTGATCAGGAGGGGCAATTTAAAGATGCGCATGGATCATCATTCCAATTATGACTTCTAGTTTCAACATTAAAAGTTAAGCCATCGGAGAGTAACTTAATTACTATTATTTACTTCAGTACTATATGCTTACACGTAGGTTTATCCGCTAGTCGAACAAATAATAGTAAACCCGGTTAGGTCGCTATATTAAAGGGCAAACATAGAGTGCAATTAACCTCGAAACATCTGACTAAATTGCACTCCACTATAAGTGCAGGCGAAGCTGACATCATAAAAGGCTAACATACAAGGAAAAAGTATTACATAAAAGCCTGATGGAAATGGAAGTCCACTTACGAGTCATTAAGTTCACCACAGGCGAGAGCAATAAGATAGGAGGGGATTCGAACATTCTGGAAAAAATAATGTTCATTCCACTTTCCCAGCACATCGGAATGCTTTGAGTTTGACTTTGTGGCACCCATTAGCACTTGAAGGTTCGATGGAGCAAGTATCTACAAACACAACACACAAATTCACATTTAAACATCATAGAATACTGAGGAAATGGAAAACCTAGAGATAGAAAAACAAAGATAACAAGGACAGTCAGATACGCGGCTATGTGATCATGTCGGAGGGGACATATAAAGCAAAACAGGAAATTACAATAATCAATAAAAAGGTCAATTGAGTTGGCTCAATAATGAGTCAACAAAATTTAAGGGTAAAATAAAACATAAACGACACTCAACTCAACCATAATACGGGGAAAATTTTCCACTGCCTACATCAATTACCTGCCTGAACTCAAGAGGATTCATTCCCCCCCTATGGGGTAATAACGAAGAGCAACAGCCTTTTCAAGCACGCTGTAACATAAGAAAATAAAGTACAATAAAATGTGATCAACATAAAACCGGTTCCCTCCGAGGTCTATTGGATTTTTGCATGTAATTAACAATGGATTGGGATAGAGGTAAGCGTGTAAAGTGCATGGCTATTCAAAGTAATAGCGTTAAAAATAACTTGTTAGTTTTGTAACAGAAAACAAGAGTTGGAAATCGGATGGAGGACATTCGGTGATCGGCATGAAAAATACAATGATATTATTGCGAAAACATTAAACTGACAAACTTTATCACAAATATTACAATCAGAAAAAGCGTCAATATAATTAAAATTTCAAAATAACTCTTCCCTTTTAATTTGCCTCGTTGATACCAGCTGCATTTTTAAAATAAATTGACAACTCAAAAAAACCAAAGGCAATTTAGATTGATTCAACGAAATATGGCAAATAATAGCATCGAGAATTGTCAAAGAAAAGCACTGTTTTGCTTAATTTAAAATCAGCGCAACTTTTAACGATTGCGAACTTCTCTCAACGTTCCAGATGTACGCATTTGATCAAGTGTTTGTTTATAACAACAAACGCATAGAAAAAATAGACGATATCTTCCCCCATGGTCTCTCTAATCTACATTTATTAACAACGATTATTTGAATTATTTAGACATAAGCCAATGCAACATGTGGGAAGGTAGAAAAAGGTACCCAGTTTATGGGGTAGATGTTTCTAATGCAGAAATGATAATCGTGTGGAGCTAAGTAATCACCATACATAAAAAACTGCCTAAATTCAAGAGTGCATTAATATTGTGTGCGAAAGATATGCAATTAAAAGAATTCATTTCTCCAAAGTGCATGGAAAGAAAGCGAATTTCGCACCATCACCCTGTTGTGTATTAAAATAAATAGTTTTTTGAAATAGTAAAAACCGCTGATCGTTGTCTTCTACGAAATTAAACTTTGTGCTAAAATAAAGAAGAGGAAATGGAAAAATTTCAAACTAGAAGTTGACTGAACTGAACTCCCAACGCAAAGAAAAATAACTGCGATACAAAAACTCCTAACTGTTAGAATGTTTAATTTCGTAGGCTATATATATATATATATATATATATATATAAACCTTGTGAATCAATTCATAGTTTTGGCAAAAAAATGTTTAAAAAAAGTAAAAGACCTCAACAATCCAAGTTAAAGGGTGGAGGAACAAAATAACAACGTAAGATATGAAACATTAAACGGAGAATTTGAGAGCACAACGAAACCTAACCTTAGCAGTAAAAGTGAATTTAACCCTCGGTGTATCCTGGCAGGGAAATAAACTTCGTGCATGAATAGCTTCACACTGAGTGAAAAGGAAGGGATTGCGTTTGTCAGCCGTCATCTGGGAATCTAACCACTGGAGAGCTGATGCCAGGGGAGTTGTAGAATACTCAATCACGACTGCAAATCTGTAAAAGAATAAAAGATATAACAAATAATTAAGTATCGAGAATCTAAGACAATAATATATACCTGGAAGTGTGCTCGCCAACTTTAATGCACATAACGCTGCCAAGAGTAGGATAGCTACCCGAAAGAATTTCATACTCAACTGGATTGTCATTGATTGTCACACGGGATACATTGATATCCTTTATATCAAGTTTCTAATTAGACAAAAAAACATAGGATAAACATTTGGCACAATTAGCTTATATGGCATGCATGAAAAAATATTAATTTTTACCAGTGTGTCGCTATTTTCGGCACTCGTATCAATTGGTTCTATCAGAAGTTTGACAGTACCGCTAACGGTCTTACTGTCAAAATCGATTTTTAAATCAAAATCGACATGTTGGGTATTATGGAGATCGGGATTCGATTCTGATGATGGATCATCAGAAGACGTAGAAATTCTTTCGGCTGCCTACAAAGTTAGGGTTACAAAATAGCCAACTGGTAAAATCATTCACACTGGTTCTAAACTACTTCATAATCATGGTGATAAATACTAACTTTCGACAAAATGTGATTTAGGGAGCAATTAAAATAAGTATTGCATATTCAAAGCAGTAAATAACATATTATGAAAGGCAAAATAAGCTACTTGAAAATATCATGTCAAAAAGCACCAAATAGACAGAATAAGCTGGTCAAGACACTGCAAAAAATTAATTATAAAAATGCATAATGTGCAAAACTGATACTAAAAAATGTAGACCGATCAGTGAATATGGATAAAAATATTATATACAATTTAATAACTAAAATTACGAAATTCTCGAATGAATATAGCAAGGCAGTTTATTAAATAAGCATATTCCATTATGTCCATAGCTTACCGATAAATGTGGACAAGCCATATCAATATTAAACAATGAAAAGACGGATCAGTTAAATATGCTGTCGCAAACTTTTGATTGGGTTATCTGAAAAAGTGCCAATTGTTGGTAAACTGAATCACATATGTAAAAACAAATATTAAATTGGACTTTATTGTATCAAATATCATCGATTTGCTCCAATAAAAGCCGATGCTTTCTATTAATTATTAAAAAATATGCTGATGGGTTATTTAACAGGAAAATTAATTCACGATCCTTATGCGTTTAATGTAAGATGTGATTTTACCAATAATTTATTTTGTAAAGCCTATTATTAACGACTATTTACATTCCTAATTAATTAGAACCTAAAGAATTAGTAAAAAAGAAATATTACTTCGGGGACATGTCTAAAAGTTTGTAAAAAGTATATTTAATTTTTTGCAATTATCAATATTTTATCAAGAAAACTTGCTAATCTATAATCTTCACAATCATCTCTAAATTTCTTTGCAAAAATGTAAATATGTGGTGGAAGAGATAATGAAATTTTTACATAGGCATTGATGAAAAGTAAAGATGAGACTCGTTTATAGCTAATTAAGTCAAAAAAGTCATTTATTAACATAGTAAGACAAACAAAGATGATTAAAATGGAAAAATCAATTGAGCCTTTGAAAAAGATTGATTTTATCTATTTTTGTATCCTGAAAACATCGACTTATTATTACGACGGGTAACAGCTTATATAGGATTATCATCAAGATTATTTAGCATAGTTTACGCTTTCGGGTGTTTAAAAGAATTATTCATCAAGATTTTATATAATTTTATATAATATTATTCAGCAATACTGATTTGTGTATGTCGAGTTTGCTTTCATTAACTTACTGACATCTGTCTTGGACATAAAGCATTTATACCAGCGTTTCTCACACGTTTCAGTTTGTTTATATCTGGTTTAAGTGGAAAATGAATAGCCATTTGTACCTTCATAAATTTATTGTCAATGTAAAAACACTTGCTGGTCATTTAAATACATTCAACTTTTTATAATAAAATCAATGTTTAATATAAAGCAAGAAATTTAATTATTGCTAAGAATTGCATTATAAAGCAGCACGCTTTATAATTGTCATTGGTTTTTTCAGCAATGAAGAGAGAATACAATTATAAAATCCTTGAAAAATTGCGATTTGAAATTATTTAAACTTTCGAGGTTTCTTGAAATCCTTTACTCTTTACATAAACGAAGTACTGCATAAATATATATTATTAACGGAACGTGTAGGGTAAACAGGATTCTAATTAAAATCACAATTTTAATACTGATATCATAACGATATATCACGTAATTTAGCTGAAGCTGTTGTTTATAATAATCATTAAAAGATGAGAGATGACAATTTTAATTTTAGCATGTATTGTACATTATTTTAAAAAATTTGAGTGACATCGCTTCAAAAGTTAAAAACCACCGTTGGTATATTGATAATTAATATTTGCATAAATAAAAATTTGTTATTGCATTATGATTTGTGTAAACACAACAATATAAAAGGTTGGAATTTTGAAATGTTAAAAATTAACTTATTCTAATTTTCCTTTGTGATATTCCGAATACTTCCATTCGGCATAAAAAATAGTCTCAATATTTTAAGAGAGTTTTGAAATTGAACTATGCTAGGTTTGTGTAACTATATTGGAACCAAATCATTAGTTGTATGGATGTTTGAAATGTTCTACCCAACTATTGAAGAGCTTTACTTAAAATAAAATGCAACATTCAGTCATTTCACAGTTAAATAAATTTATTGGAGAATGCATTCCAACTGAATTTCAAATATTTCAATTTAGATGCTGGCACATGTATGAAACTGCCAATTTATTTACATTCGTAAATTGAAAAATCATTTGCTAAGAAGAGTCCAGAATTCGACAATTATGACAAAATTAAATGGAATTCGGAGAGGCATTGTCATTAAAGGTAAATAAATTTAAAATAATTGCGTACGCTCATGCCGAACTTATAATAATGGGAGACAGTGATTATCTTTACAACTACAATTTTCGCGTGCCTTAATGTCTGCAAATTCAAAAATGGTAATAAAATTAGTTTTAAAAGAGCGAAAAGGAATATTATCTGCTAAGGTGTCGTTTTAAATAAATATTATTATGAATTTATGTTGCAAGTGTTTCAATAATATCTGATTGGATAATATAAGCTTCTTACTCCTTATTCAAAGGCAAGCAAACTTAGTGTTCTTCTTTGCTTTAAATTTCACGAAAAAATTAATTCATTTAAATTTTTTCCTTATTTGTTTGTAAATAAGTCGGTTTAATTCGCCTTTAATCTAGTACCATTTGTTTTAATGTTTATGCCATGATTGGCCGTTACATTTAGTATTTATTAAAGGCTCTAGCCATGAAGTAAGTTTTTTTTGCCGTGCCGGTCGGTCCGTTGTGTCGCTATGTTTTGTCTTGTATAGTCATACTTTTTAGCCCTCAGTATTTCTGCTCTTTAATATTCCATATACCTCCGTGCATTTTGTATCTTGTGCTTTTTTTAGTCCATCGTGGACTCCTCAACCCAGCAATGCCAGTATCGGTGGCATTCTTAGCAATAACCCCCCGGGGTCAGTTGAGCAAATGCAGCCAACACCAATTAATCTTGTCAACGTTATGCAGAGCTATGTCACTCCCGCCAGTGCACACACTAATAATCGAACTCCTTACACACCAAATACTCCTGGAACTCCCTTCATTGATCGTGATGGAGTCATTCCACAACCGCAATTGCAGTGAGTTAAACTTTCTCCGTGTTGTTTATATTACGTAATTAATATCTTCTTTAGGAACATTGTGTGTACAGTAAACCTCGGGATAAAATTGGACCTTGTCAAGATAGCCCGAAGTGCTCGCAATGCAGAGTATAATCCAAAACGTTTTGCCGCCGTTATTATGAGGATTCGGGAACCTCGGACAACAGCTCTAATTTTCTCTTCTGGTAAAATGGTTTGTACCGGAGCTAAAAGCGAAGAACAAGCACGTCAAGCTGCCCGAAAATATGCTCGAATCATCCAAAAACTTGGATTTAATGCTAGCTTCAAGGGATTTACAATTCAGAACATGGTTGGCTCTTGTGATGTGAGATTTCATATTCGCTTAGAGGGCTTGAATGCTGCCCAGAAGTTGTTCACAACGTAGGTTTTCATTTTTTATGGATGTTTCATTTCTCGCTCTTTAGTTATGAACCGGAGCTGTTTCCTGGTCTAGTTTATCGAATGCAAAAGCCCAAAATTGTCCTTTTGATCTTCGTATCTGGTAAGATCGTGCTTACTGGTGCCAAAGTTCGGGAACAGATTTATCAGGCATTCAATAATATCTTTCCTATTTTGAAAAACTTTATGAAACTGGACACCGAAAAACAACAACAGTCACATCATCAGTTACCACCAACTCTTACAAATTGAGTAGCCTTTCGTCCATTCTCATCCTCTTCCCTTGTATATGCAGATCTCACTCTAAAGATGACCATCGTCGCCACTAATTTTCAAGATTGTGTTTCTTTTTTCTACGGCTACTATTTATGTATCTTGCTATGAATTATAATATATGGTGTTTTATAGAATATTGGTACATTTTTTTCCTCGCTTGAGGACAGTGGGTTCATAGAATGATTGTGTTGACGGCTATCTTTTCGTAGAAGCTAAAATGCCTGTATATGTTTCAAATTTGAGGATTTTCTTCTATTCTAATGGGGTACGATCTCTAGAATCTTTGATCGTATTCGGTTTTACATCCCGTAGCATGAAATTATTCTTTGTTTGGAATGAAGTTCCGGTGCTTCTATTGTGATTATTTTGCTGACCTCAGATCTTGCATTTATCCTTATTTATCTTTAGCATGTTTTTTGCTGCTAACTATAAATTTTAGCGAATGCATGAACCAGCTTCTAGTATGGTTTTTAAACATGTTGCAACTATTTTTTGCGGTTTTTTTGATAATTTTAGGGCGATATCAGTCATTTGACGTGTACAACGTTTAAGCGCCGTTTGTGGTTTATTAGTATGTAACGTAAGCGTGTTATTATTGTCGGTACACCTGTTTGACCACCTCCTGTATTCAAGATTGCAGTTGGCTGTTTTATCATATTTAATTGGCACTTAAATTATCCGCCCTTGTGTAGGCGTATTCTCCCTGGGGGTATTTCTAGTATATATGTATGCACCCAGCTTATAATACGGATATAGTATCAATGTGCGGAGATGTTCATAATCTGCTATAAGCTAATTTAAGTAAATTAAGAATAGGCTTAAACGTTTGTATTTTATTTAACGTGAAAACAATACCACTAAGCATTCTTGTATGTAAGACAAAGGGAACCACATCAAACAACAAACTGATATTCTCCATCAACAGCTCCTCGTTTTCTGCAAAGCTCCCGCTCTGTTTCGTAGTAACGTGGGTAAAAGAATTCCACAATATTGCTCCAAACACCCTTATTGAAGGGGTTCTTAAATCCCGTTTTCGCATTTCCAAAGTACTCATATCGTCTCCAATTTGCGAGCTCGTTTGTTGTCAAATTGAAAACAGCTCCCATAATCTAGAAACAGTTTAGAAAGAGGTTAGGAAAGAACATTCTACTTCGGCAACCCTTTTTTTCGCCTAGATTCATTTGTGGATTTGAATTGTTTTCCTCAGCCTTTAATCTTTACATCAGTTCTATTACCCTATATAGCACAAGCGTCATTAGCCTTACTCTGCCAATTTGTCACTCTTCAGTTTACTTGTAGCAATATTTCTGTCTCCCCCCCCCCACTCTCTTCTAACACCCATTTTCTAAGCGGTTGCCTAGGCTGACAATAGTTCCTTACCGTCATAATGAAGGCATTTATGGCGAATAGGCATCCAATGGAGAGAAGAAGTAAGGTTGAAATTTCCCAGAAACTTGTTGATGGAGAGTAATACCAATACTTAATTATTAACCATCCAATCCAAACGCTCACGATTGATGTTGATATGCTGGTGCAAAGAAACCACACACTACAAAGAAAGCAGATTAATTTTAGAGTAATTATTTTCTGTATTGTGATACAACTGGAAAGTCAGTGTGATTTATAAAAAAACGGGTTGAAAGTTGAGCAACTTCTGAGCTTATTCGTTGTGGAACTGATGCTCACCTGACACAAGCGTCTATACTAAAATTTTCGCCTATTTTTTGTTGTATTTTCGTGAGCCTCGGAAAATTTTGGAGGAACATTTGTCTAGAAAGATTCCAATCTCAATTTTTGTGATAAAATCTAATTTTGATTTGATAATGTAGGGGTGTGCGATAGACTTACCTCCACGTGGTGCACCCTGAGAAACGTATATTCATACGGCAAAAAAGTCTATTAACTGGCAATTGACTTCTCGCTTCAAACTACCACCACCTCACTCTGCCATATTTGACTATTTCCACAGTACTCTTTTTACCTTTTTTCTAACTTTGTGTTTGTCTCTTACATCTTTGAAACACTCTTCTGTCCCCCCCCCCTCTCGACTTTTTTCAATTTGATGTTCCTTCTCCTCTGTGAAGTCT